GCTGTGGTGAAAATTTCCGACTCCTAGCTGATCATGGTCGTGAGCTATTAATTAATTATTGTTAATGGCATTTTCATTAATTAACTCATATCTCAGTCAAAAAGGCGCATGGGCCCAAACCAACTTGGGGTTTTTCACTGCTGACTATTGCCTACATGATGAAAATAGTCTGAGTCGAAAAGCTTTTAATCACCTCGAGAGGTTCCCTCGTAAGTCAAAAATCAAAACCTCAGCTCGGTTGAATCGTAGTGCCACTTTAAGACAAACCCGCGAATTTAAGCATTTTAAATGCTCATTTAGACTCGAACATTTGACTATATTCTTTTACTTTGATATGTTCGCAACTTTCATCAAATACTTTGCAATATACGTGTATTATTGACGCAAGGGTACAGTTACTTATACACTATTTTTGAGATCATCATTACTTTTAGTGTTTTTCGACTTTCACTGCCAAAGCACGCGTTTATTCCAAATTTTACTGCGCTCATTTGTACATTAGACTACCGTGAATAGAATGAGAGATGAAAAAAAATCTGTTCACAGAAACTTTTTCTATAGCCAAACTAAGATGGACGTTTATTGGTGGGAGATCCCTATAATGTGGAGTTTTTTCGTTCATTTCAAATGGCATTGGGTTAAAGACATCAGATTCGTAAACTACAACTAAAGCTACATCAGAATAAACGTGATATATTCATACCTTATTTCAAATTTAACACGCCGACTATACTTCTAGGCAATTCAACAATGAATTCCAAGAAAATATCACTCATTAATACATGCTCTTTTATTCCAGGTAGTTTGTTAATTTTAGGATATTAGTATGAGAGTCGAATTCTCTTTTAAAATTGCAACAAATGTTTAAACACTTGAAATTAAATTGTGATGTGAGTTGGAAGTCAAATCTTGTATTCAAGCGTCAAGGAATCAATACAATGCTGGATATTTTCTCATATTGAAAGTCAGTAATCACTTCAAATGCTGCGCAATAATAGAAGAATAACGCGAATTTCAGTTACTGAGAAATCTGTGCCCTGGATAAGATCGCTGTTTTCACGATTAATATTATCTCATGTACTCTTGTGAACAGTTTTTTGCCGTATGTTTATTTATCAAAGTGTCATTAGAAAATCACAGATACTAGAGTAACAATTTTTCAACTTTCGACATTCAACAATGTATGGATTGGATTAAAGCATTTTGGCATCTCTGGTTGTTCTTATACGACAGCTTTTTTCCTGCATGTCCAAAAGAATATTTTAGCGAACAGAATAATAAAGAAATATTTTCTCTTATCCACGACACGTCGAATCTATTCCAGCATTTATATTTGTACCACTACCATGTTTACTTTCTGCTTGACTAAGATGACGATCTAGAGGTTGTTGATCGGTCTTTCGAGATGACTCTTTTTTCGGTAGTTCATTTGTCTTTGACCCTTGACTATGACTGAAAGATGACATAATTTTGCTCGTGATCGCACAACGATGTTATTTGTTAAATGAAACATTTTTATCATTATTTACCTATAAAGCGTGTTCATTCGGAGGCGAAGAAAATGAAGCAAAAAGGAAGGAAAATATCATAATAGTTTTTGGCTTTCATGACGCCATTTTTATCAGTATTTTTCTTCACTTTTCTGAAGGTTTTGAAAAGTTTTTTTTTCTCATGAGCTAAGTCAAAAATCAAAACCTCAGCTCGGTTGAAGCGTAGTGCCACTTTAAGACAAACCCGAGAATTTTAGTACTTAAAATGCTCATTTAGACTCAAACATCTGACTATATTCTTACTTTGATATACCAGATGTTCATTCGCAACTTTCAAAAAAGGGACCGTTACCCTTTTTTGTAAACATATTTTAAATATTTTGGGAATTTTCGCGTCCTTTGTAGCCATTCGTAAATCGACTGTAGTTTGGTGAAAGAGCGTTATGCGCAGCCGGCGATAACTTATTTTGCTCACAATTCTTTGCTCTAACATGCTGTATGGTTTGAAAAGTATCTGACAAAAACCAAAGACTTGTTTTTCTGACAGTGAGATTTTTCAGAACCCCTACTATCGAGTTTTCTCATAAAATCGCGATATACACCTCATCTGATAGAAAAATCTTCGGGCTACTCAAAACAGTATTCAGATTTATTCTGAAAAGTAGCGTTTACTCATCATGTAGGGCTAATTTTGAGGTTGCCTATGTAAATGGTATTATAGAGAAATTAACGGGATTTTGGTGAACGAATGTATCTGATGTCATCTGGGATTGAATACTGCTGTTTTTTTTTTCGTTGATAGGAAGCCATTTTCAGTCGAAAAAGAGAGTAGGTCGATTTCTAATCTTATATGGTCCCGTCCTTTCAAGGTCAATCTGTCAGAATCTGGATGAATTTACTTTTCAAATCAACATTTATTTTTTCACAACCCATTAAATAAAAGAAGATGAAAGAAAATAGCACGACAAGAAACATTTTTTTTTTATACCCCGCAATCGTCTGTGGACGTCATCGTACTTTTTTCTTTTTCTTTTTTTTCTTTTTCTGTTCAAGAGTCATCCGTCAAGGACTTTCAGTTAAAAGGTGTTCATCTCCTATAGCGCAGCTGACAGAGAAACTGCGCGCTACGATCGATGTACACAACCTTTTCACAAATATTTCCTATTCTTTCGTTACAAAACTTCTTTCTTTTTGAACAGCATAGATGGATCTAAATGCGAAATTCTCTACTCTCGAACACAATTAGCTGTTTGATTAGGAGAACAATGACGATAATTTCTGTCCCTAAATAATTGCTGAACAGAACATTAAATAGAATCCATGCGGCCACCAAAAGAAGTTTCCCATGAATTCGTCCTGAAGGTCACTTTTAGCGTTTTTTTGGAACGCGTCCTGGAGACACTTTTAGTGTTCTTGAGGTACTTTTCGCGAAAAAACGTACTCTCACAGCCACAGAACGTAATCACCATAGAATGACACTAATCGATAAAACCCGTTTCTTAGAGAACGCATTCTATACCGATCGCGTGCTATGACTGTGAGAACGCATTTTTTCGCGAAAAGTGCCTTCAGAATGCGTTCTAAGAGAAAAACGCTAAAAGAGTCTCCAGGAAGCGTTTTATTCTTTTAAAATACTCGCTTTTGACCTTTCTACCTTGTTAACTTTTCTCATGGATTAGCTCGAGTTTTATGGCTGCTAGGGACTTTACATATCTCCCACGATTTTCCTTTTAAAAACAAAGGAAGGAGTTCTATATATATGAGAGAATGAGTTAGCCAGAATTGGCTATACTTCGAGCAAGAAGGCAAGCTCAGAGAAAGTCGTTTTCCTCAGATGTCCTTGTCGGATGATAACTTGTTAACAGTACACAAGTCTACCACTATTTTTTATGGTTTTTTCCATTGATAAGAGTCTTGCATTTTTCTTTTTTTCTGTCTGACAATGCATCACCCACGTTGACATATTACGCAACACGTAAACATAGTTGTATATAGGTAAAGTACAAAATTATATTTCTACGGCGAGTAGTCACCGGGAAACCGGCTTATAGTTATTCTATTAGCTCAAAAGAGAGCAGTATATATCTTTCTGAAACTTTTCTGGTTGTTCTTATTCTCTTTCCTGAAGCAATAATGTAGTTATGTCTATGATCTTTTACTTTCTTGTTATTTGTAGATCTATCTTTAACGTAAAATAGCTCATGTACCCTAAATATATTCGTAAGTTATGAGGACATTTTGTGATTTTATATGAAAAAAAGAACTCTCTTTTTGTTTGATTTTATTATATAGATGCTAAGATGTCAAGGCAAGCTGAACGACATCAATATCAACGTTTATTACCATTTCAAAAAATTTCAGCACTCGATGCCAAACTTTTAAGACCATTATTTTCAACACAAGTAAGTCTAATACTATAAACATACTCATTTTACACTTTGCATTACCGATATGTTTTCTAGTGGGATGTACATCAGAATATATCACAATCATCAACAGATGAAGATCAAACTCCAACTGAAATAATGGAAGGCAACGGTATATGTCTAATGATTGTTCAATTTCCTTGTACTTACGTTAGCTACAATTTGTTATAATTCATATCTGTTTTTAGTCCAACAGTTACCACAACACCAAGAAGAAGAACAAACGTCAGCATCTATTGCTCTTGCACAAGTAGAATTTTGTATGTCTTTTAAAACTGCTTTATCTACATTTATGAAGCTGCGAAGAAGAGGTGGAAGCATAGAGTTAGAGGGATAATAGAAAACTTTTAGCTCGTCTTAGTGAAAAACTTATCTGCACTACGTATGTCACTTGGCGACGACTGAATTTTTTACATTTGACCCGTAGTTATGAGTGTGGTTCTTCAAACCGGACAAACTTACTTCCTCATATAATGAGAGTTTTCTTTCTATCCTTTCAGATGCCATTCCGGACCAAGACTTAAAAGAATCTGTGCCTGCTAATGACTCTGTTCTTTCAAAACGTGAACAGGAAGGAGAAGACAACAGTAAGTCTTTGAAAATATGAAATCAAAAGATCTCATTTTTTTGTTGATTTTCAGACCAAATTTTGGAAGACACTATCCAGACACCATCATCTACGACAGATTTTGGAGCTGCTGAAGTTGCACAGCCTCAGTCGTCGCCATCGCCGACAACGATTTCAGCAGCAACAACAAATTCACTAAAACAAGATCAACAGCGTTCAAAAAATCTTATTGAATATGCTCCTGGTCGATATCGACGTCAGTCTGTTCACAACGGACAATTCCAAGTAGCTTTATCATTTGCAGGTGATGAACGATTACGTGTAGAACCTATAGCCGAACTACTTGAAAGTGAATTGGGACCAAATCAAGTGTTTTATGACAAATGGTATGAGGCTGAAATGTGTATGGGTTTATCAAATACTATGTAGGACAGTTTTCTGAGCTTTTTGAAACTCAATCCTCCCTGGTAGTCAAAAATGTTGTTTCCTGCCTCAGTCTGAAACATAAGTCTGCCCTTCCCTAGGCCATGCATAGATTCTGAACAGTCTTTATTCCAGATCTTGACCTTGTTCTACAAGATTTATATCGAAAACGATCAAGTCTGATTGTTGTTTTTGAATGTCCTCAATATCGTGTGAAAGAATGGTGTAAGTTGGAATGGCGTGGAATTCGTGAGTTACTAAAAACTGGACAAGAAAAACGTATTATGTTATTGAGTTCATATGATTTACATCCCTTGCCGGGAACTTACAGTGGTGATGGGTATTTATCTATTAAAGACAAGTCATCCGAAGTTGTTGTTGATAATATATTAATACGGTTGTCAACTTTGAATGATTAACTTCTCTATTCTAGAACTCCGTAGTCATCTATTTATATTTAATATTGTATTTGATCAATTTGTTATTGTTACGCTTGAAACTTCGTGTTTATTATCACGAGCAGGAGGACAGTAATGTACATTGTTTCTTTCATTTTTTCTGTTCAATATTATCGCATGCTGTACTTCATGTTAAATAATTTGTATAACACAAATATTTCTCCTTTGTTATCATTGTTAATTCTTGTTTGTGTTAAAAAAGATATAGTGAATAAAGAACGCATGTATTAGTAGTGGTAGTAAACAACGAAAATTAGACTGAATCGCAATAAGTTTGATGAAAAAATACGTTGCCGTATTTCACATAATGATGAAAATGCCCTTCTGGCGTTTTTCTTTTAAGAAATTGCAATCTGTAATTTCGACTTTTTTGGCAAAAATCAAGATTAAAATCACCTTTTTACATGTTGAAATGACCATTTCAAATTAAGACGTTACGTCGACTTTTTTTTGACATTTTGCATCTGCGAATGCAAAAAAACTTGATATTGCATTTTTAAAGTTGCACCTACTTTCTTTTTTTGCTTTTGAAACTACAAAGGTAAACATCTAAATATTCTAAAGTTTTACATTTTCACATTTGCAGGTTCAAAATTTTTGCGCTTGTTAAATATTTACAATTAGTAGATTCCAGAAAGTGAAGTAAGAATCGAGACATTTCGACGAATAGAAAAGCAATGAACTTCCACCACAGCGAGATCTCTCCTTGTTACTCTTGTTCTCCATATTAAATAACCTATATTATATGTTAATTCTAAACTTTATTAGAACCTGCAAGTACATTCCTCTTGCTTTTTCTCTTGCGGTCAGACAAGCAGAAGTATTATCTATACCATCCTCCTCTTCGTCCAGGGAATACGAGAAATGTCCAACCATTGAAAAGTTGTTTGGGATATGGATCAATACATGGTCTGTTTTTCGTGTACCTGTGTATGTGTATGTATATAAACCAGAGCGCGAAACGAATGAAGCAATTTAGCATTCCATTAAATTCGAACCGAATTTGATTTAAATCGAATCGAACTAGGCTTAGTTAAAGAGCATGGTGTTTTTTGTTCATTAATGTATAGAGCTTTTACTGTCTTCTTGATTGGTGTAAAAGGTCAAAAACTGTTTCCAAATTTGGCTCGTTTAAGGCTTCCCTACCCGATCGGAAACCTGTCTCAGTCCCGGCAGGTCTGACCCGGACCAAACTTTCAGGGAATGTTGACCATGTCCAAGTGTGGTAACGAAATTTTTTTCTGGCATTACTTGCAACTGATCGTGAGAGGGCGTTACAACGAGGACCAAAAGTAGGCCCCTACGACGTGTAAGAATTCTGATTCCAGATAAATGACAGAGAGCTCGGACTCTTTTTAATTTACAGTAAACACCTATGGCTAGGTTTATGAATTTCTCATTTCCTGATTTCTAGTGCTTATAGACTTTAATATCCGAAAAATCCCATAAGGTTTCTTAGAAATCTTCATTTCTATAAAAAATGGAAGTATAATTTAAAAAGCGGTATCTGTCAAGTCCTACCTATGGGTTATCTACAAATCAAAAGAAAAGTTTTCTTCTCCGATGTATCGTTACTGAGAATTCCTGCACGTGGCAAAGCCGTGCAGCACAGTGGCCGATTTTGCCTAGGCATGTGGACATTGGATTTTAAAGCGCTGGAAAGATCTCTCAGATATGTTCTTGTAGGTTTTCGAGTGTGCTCTTTCTAATGGAGTCACTTACAAAGTTCAAAATCCATGTTTTAACGGTTTTCCAGAGGTCCGGTCTATAGAAAATCTTTGCAAAACCAGTTTAGAATTTTTTAAATGAATCCATTGAATCAGCCACTACTCGGAAACCTATAAAATATTTGTAGGCTTCCAGATCTCTTTTCTAACAATTTAAAAACCACCGGCCTCCAGCACCACGGTGATGCCTCAAATTTAGTCTTCCACGAAAACTTACAATTTTTTCCCAGAAAACTGCTGAAGAATACATATCATTCGATGCTATTTTTTCACGCTAATTCCGAATATGTCCTTACTTTTTAGCTAGGATGCCTTTTTACTAAGAAAAACGTGAGAAAAGGATAGAAATCCAGGGTTTTTGTAAAGTCTATAATTCTGGCCAGAAATGTTTGAGCAAGTTTGGGCATTCCAGAGATCATGGACAATTCGCATCCGCGGCGAACTGAGTTATTCTCTACTATTTTGTGCGGTATGTGACATGTCTTCAGACTGGCTACAGACTTACAATGTTTATCTTTTTCTCGCATTAGTTCAAGTC